ACACACACACGTGCGGGCGCCACCCTATGGAGTTGGTGCTATCAATATTTGATTTACAGATAAGGAAACGGAGGCTCAGAGAGAACACATCTCTTGCCGTGGTTGGCTAGCATGTGGCTGGTAACTGGGCTTTGAGTCACAGCAATTTCAACACCACGATGGGGCCACGAAGCATCACGCTAAAGTCTCCGGGGAGACGCATGGCCTGCCCGACACAGCCCAGTGTGGCCTCCCAGTGTGCCAGACGCTTGCCAGCACCACAGCTGTCCTCAAACACACCCCACTGAAGAGAGACAGTCATCCCCATTCCACCAACAGGTAAACCGGTATTTGAGGAAGGCCCATGCACATCAGCACTCAGGTTCTCCAAGTCAGACCTGCAATGGAACCCGGTCCCCACGATGGCACAGGCCAGGCTGCCACCCCCCAAGCTCTGTTCACCACCCCCGGGGACCCTTTCGTCTCTCCTGACTGCTGCACACTGGTCACCTCCCTCTCTGAAGTCCCCAGACCTTGGGCCGCCCAGTGGAGTTGAGGGAATGCAAACAGGCAAACCTGGCCTGTACATGGCAGGTGTCCAGGAACAAACTTTCTGGCTGACAGGGTCAAAGGCTTTTGCCGCCAACAGCTCCCCTCCCTTGCTTGACCATGGGGGTGGAGGGGAACAGAAGGAAGGTCAGCCTCTCGACTCATGATTTACCTGCTCAGGCATCCCCTAACTGAGCCTCGGAGTCCACACCTGCGAAATGGAGGTAAAAAGCTTCCCTCTCCCCCTCACAGAGCTCTTGGAAGACAGGAGACAAAGCAGGCTGGGAAGCCAGTTCATGATAGCACAAGGACGGATGGGAAGGCGACCGAGCCCCTGGCAGCTGCCTGCCACCTCAGCAAAATGCTGGCCAGAGACAGCAAGGAATAGAAAGGCCTAGAACATCTGCCAAGCAGAACACCAGCTCCCCTGGTGACTTAAAAGCATAACCTTGCTCCTCCCTGCCTCCGCTGCAGGGGAAGCAGCCCCAGCACAAAGCCCCTTGGGGATATGGCCCCTCCCCCCACCCCCACAAAGCCCAGTCCCTGTACTGCCACCAACCACCCTCCTCATTTCAGGGTTAGATTTGTTTCCAGCACTCCGATCCCCATCACCTACGTGGTCGCCACCTACCTGGACTCCTGTGGAAGGCTGGGGTAGATCTATCTTCCATGCCATTTCTCAAGCCTTAGCATCCAGCCAGGTGTCCAAGACCCAGCCATAGTGGGAGAGGCACAGGGGAGCCATGGGGACCAGGGGACGGGGGGTGGGGGGGGTGGAGGGGGGGATTAGGAAAGCAACATGGAGAAAGCAGGGGGGGAAAGGGGAGGCACAGGGGAGCCATGGGGGCCAGGGGGCGGGGGGGGGATTAGGAAAGCAACATGGAGAAAGCAGGGGGGGAAAGGGAGGCTGGGAACACTAAGAAGGGACAGACTGAAATGAAATGCAGTCCCTGGTGATGGAGGCTCTTCAAAAATAGTAGGAATAATAACCAAGCCCTTTTACTGGTGGTGGTGGTGGTGGTGGTACCGTGTTGTAGTATGTGAGGAGGGTCAACAACAAAACCAAATGTGGGCACAGCCTGCGTATTTTCTGCTCCTCCTTCATTCCCTTCAGCAGCCCCTGCCGTGCCCCCCACCCACCACCCACCAGGTATTGTCGTCCTATTTTGCATTTCAACGGAACCAAGAATTTTTGGAACTTCCGCATATCAAAATTTAGCAACTGTGCATCCAGTTTTCTATGGCAGAGAATAGCTAATGTGAGATCGGACTAGAAGCTAACCTGATAAATGGGCTACAGTACCGGGACTCTCTCCAAGTAAGCCCTTGAATGCTGGACAATGGGGACCAAATATGCTCCTGCTCCCAAGTAACCTGCAGGCATCTTTCTAGGACTTACTGCCATGGAGTTCCCTAACCCAAAGGAATGATTGGCCTGAAAATTTTAGTTGAAAGCTCAGTGCTAAGGTAAGCTAAATCTTTGAACCATCTAAGCTTCCTTCTTCCCTCTGCCTGCCAGGAAACTCAACAGTCCAACTGGGCCAAGAACCATTGCATAAATAGACCCTCACCGGTGGTCACGAACACACAGATTCTTCTTTCCCCCAGACACCATCACCTATGCTAATTCAGAGATTCCTTAGTCCTGGTTTTTTTGTTGTTGTTTTTAATATAAGGTCCTTTGACCTTGTTACACAGGATTTTTTTTCTCTCATAGCTTCTTCAAATACCTTGTCAGAGGAATGGATGGGATCTATTACCGCACAAAGGGAACTATCACGGTGAACAATGTGGACATAGGGGCAGGTGAGTAAGGAGACGGCAGGCAAAAAACCTTGATTCTGCGGCTTCCTCAAATTCCAGCCCTCCAAGCACAATGGCAGATGGAGGAGGCAGCCCGCCCAACACTGCCTGCCGGGCTGGTTCTGACCTGGAGAGCCACAGCCTCCAGACCAGACCTCCCTCCAAGGCCAGAGTGCACACAGGCGCACCCCGCTTGGTCTGGTGGCCCAGGAACGACACGTGTCCCTCCCGGAGACCTAGAAGCAGCTGCTCTCAGCTCCCCCATCTCCTCCTTCCAACGCACCGTGGTGACTCAGGCGGAGCAGCTTAGCAGAGCTAGTTCTGGGTGTTCTGTCCAGAAGGGGGGAGGGTGGCGGAAGGTAGTGGTGTTAGCAATCAGTGACAGTGGGTCCCACTCATTCCCCAAGTCTATTTTACGACTTTGAACTCAGTATGCAAATTTATGCAAGACAAGATGCAAAGCAGCGCTTTGAGCCAGAAGTCCCATTGCTTTTCTCCCCTTTTTTGAAGCTGCACTGAACCACTGTAAATCAGCGCTCGCCTCTGCCCCCCTTTCTGCTCCCCCAGCAACTGCAGATGCAAAGCCTCCTCAGACCCGCCCGCCTGCCCGCCTGCCTGCCCTGGGACTTTGAATGCCTGCACATTTCTATAGCACCTTTATATGTGCAGCCGGCCAGACGGCCACTTGGGCGGCTCCGCCCCTCGGCATAATCCCAGGCATTGTATGCGGCAGGGAAGGAGGCAGGGGAGATGCTGAGGGAGCCAGTCCGCCCCGCCGGCCCTGAATTCTGAAAGGGAGCCCACTTCCTCCTCTTACCCCGACATTTCTAGGCACTTCTGCCCACTCCACCAGCAAACACACCCACACACTGTTAAGATCCAGACCTCCCCAGATCTCAGGGCGCCCCCCCTCCCATTTTTCTTCCAGGCTCACTCACCTACTCCAACCCATAGTCTGACTTCTGAGTTTCTCTGAACCAACCAGTCCCAACCCATCACCCCCAAGGGATGGAGGCTCAGCACCCGCAGATGTGCCCACCCCCACCCCCTGAATCCCAGCCGTCCCCAGGAAGTCAGCGACACAGCCCCTGAGTCCTGGGAACAAAGACAAAAGAGCTAACAGCAAAGCCGGAACTGCTGGGGTTTGCTGCCTCAAAATAAGAGGGTATGTTTAAAATTCTCAAAAGCAACCTGCTCAAAGAGGAATGCAGTCTGGGATGGGAGAGAGCTCATTCTTCAGAGAGGGGAGAAAAGGGGATGGGAGATGGAGGGGGGACGCTGCAGCTTTCAGTGCTCCTCTGGGTCACATTCTTGCACCACCCCCCAACCGGGACCCCAGGGCTCTCCAGGCAGCACCACACCCCTGCCCCATCCCAAGACCCTCTTCTGCACAGAAGCCTCAAAACTTGCCCCTCTCTTCCCTGCACCCCTGCCAGCCCAGGCTTCTCCCTGCAGTGCCCCCTCTCGCCCAGCCCTCCTCACACCTCTGGGTCACTTCTTTCCAGGGTGCCCACCCGGCTTCCACATCTAGCTCCCACCCCCCACCCCCAGTGTCCCCTCTTCCCAGGCTGGAGCACAAGAGAAAAATGCGGAAGGCGTCTGTCTGGGCATTGGGAGGAGAAGGCTGAGGAGGCAGCTGGGGCTAGCTGGCGGAAAGGAGTCCCATAACCAGGCAGAAAATCCAGAGTGACATTCTTCCCATGAACTCACCCCATTGTCCCTGGGCTCCCCTGACAACTCCCCCCTTCGGGCTCTAGGGAGGAAGTGAATGGGGAGAATCCCCCGCATCTGTTCTGGGGCTTGGAAGCAGGAGAGCTGGTTTTCAGGCTGCCAGTGAGAAGGATGAAGGGTGAGAAAAAGTACAAGGTTTAGGGAGGACCTGTACCACGCACTTTATTAAGACGGTCAAAATCCAAACGAGTCTATGAACTTGGAGGCCTCTGGAAAAGTTCACCCTGCTGAGGAAGATGTTTAGTTTGTCAAGAGTTCAGCTCAAAAAGCATAGTACCTCCCTGGTGGGGGGGCTGGGGGGGGGGCGCGAGGGGGTCACGGAGGAGGAAGGCAGGGCCAAGTCCTTTCCTTTTATTATTACTTTCTAAGAGAAGCAGGAGGGAAGGGTTAACTTGGAGGCAAGGCAGGCAGGGAGGGAAGCAAGCGGAGGGAGAAGAAAGGGACTCAGGGTTTCTGCTAGCTCCCTCCGAGGAAGCCCTGTCTCCGCACTCAAGGTCAAAATGTGCCAGAGGAATAGAAGAAAGATTTCAACTCTG